GAAAAGGGGGAAGCAGAGGATGAGATGAATAGATGGTGTCATGGAAACAATGAACATGAACTTGGGCAGACTCTGAGAGAGAGTGGAAGATAGAAGGGCCTGGAATCCATGGGTTCATGAAGAGCTGAAATGACTGAATAACTGAAGGACAGCAGCAAAATCTCCACTTCCAAATCCATCACTCTTTCTATTCTTCATGCTGCCATCTCCAGAAGGGATCCATATTGCTGATAGGGTGAAATGCAAACCCTTCAGCCTGGTATTCCACATCCTCCCCAATCTGGCCTCATTCTACCTTCCCAACCTCATTTCACATCGTTCCCTTTCACACCTTCTAAATTCCAGTCACGTGGGATAGTTGTCCATCTTCCAAACCCATTTGGTCATATCCCACCTCCGTGCCATCCTCCAAGACTGCAACTTTCATAATCCTTCAACCTCAAAGCCTAGCTCCTGGGTGACACAGTACACCTCCCCCCCAACTGGAAATCTTCTCAGAATTTCCTGAAGCACTTTAGCTGAATCTCTCCTTTGCTCTGACTGTGCTGTCATATTAGACTTCATATTATGCAAGATACCCTTCTCCTACTCCAACAGAAGTAGTAAGATACCCTTCCCCCCCTCACTCTAGTAGCAGCTTATGGGTAGGTACTATTTATTTTTCATACCTGCACCTCCAGCACCAAGCCCAATGCCTTACATATAAGTGGTCGGTGAAATCATTCAGAAAACATTTTTACAAAATGGGGCTGGGATTGAGTCAATGCATCTAACCATTCATCCACAGACATGCCATTCCTTGATATTCTTCCCGTAGCATGGAAGGCTGACCTTGCGGAACCATTCCCAATTGATCTCCCCTGAGATACCCATTTGTGAAAGAACTGACTGGGGTCAAAGGTGCCTTCTGGGACAGGGAAACAGGCAGTGCTGTGCTCTTAAGTGTTTAGCACCTGGTTCTGGGAGCAGGGGCGATGGAAGGATGGAACATATACCCATGTCACACTTTTAAATTTAATTTGCATTATTAACATTTTATCCATCACTTTCTTAAGTTCAGAAAATCAACAAAAACTGTAAATCAAGCCTTGATTTGTAGCATTTGCTAGTTTCCAAGGAAATTTAACAACCAGCTCTCTCTGGCAGGTTCCAACTGGCTCTCAGTGCTCCTTTGAAAACAGTGCATCAAGCTAAAAATGCACTGATTTATTTCTGCATGTATTTATTTTTATTCTGTTGTTTCTAGTATCTTGTTATTTATTGTATAGTAGTTTATATTAATTTATAAATATTATTTTATTAATAAATGAGGAAAGAAATGATGATGCTGATATTTGTATTATCTTAACTCAGTAAAATTCCCCTTCCAGATCACTGCTCCAGGATGTGGGTTATGACTTAATCAACAGAATGTAAGCTCTTTGAGAACAGGATCTCCCTTTTGCCTTCCTGTTCCCAGCACCTAGGACAGCACCTACCACATAATGTTTCAGTCATGTCTAACTCTCAGGGACTCCATTCGGAGTTTTCTTGGCAAAGATCCTGGAGTGGTTTGCCATTTCCCTTTCCCCTCATTTTACAGATGAGGAAACAGGCAGACAGGGTTAAGTGATTTGCCCAAAATCACACAGCTGGCTGACCACATACTAAACACTTAATAAAAGTTTCTCCATGTATTCATCCAAGAACTACAAAGTGAGTGCCTGTTAACTATAGGATGGCTATACAAATCATGGTGTATGAGTGATGGAATGTACTATAACAAGCAATGAATGTGGAGGATTCAGAACAACTTAAGAACAGATGCAGAGCAAAGCCAGGAGAGCTAGAAAAACAACCCACATGATGACTAAAATGATGTAAGCAAAAATGACACTAACAAACAACTGAAGTTGGACTGAGTGCTATCAGCTAGGCTGGGTCTCAGAGGACAGCTGTTACCTGCTCTCCATAGAGAAGTGGGGGACTATAAGTGCAGAACGTTATACACGCTGTCAGACATGCTTGCTATATTGATCAATTTTGACTGTTTGTTATTAAGAAGGGTTCTCTGGTGTGGTGGGGGGCAGGGCACATAGGGGAATCATTGCAGTTTTCAATAATGAAGACAGTTTGGGGTGGTGACCTGAAAGACCACCCTGTGATATTGAATGCTGCGTAAGTGCCAGATCTCACTCTTGATTGGCTGAAAGATCTCTGAGGCCATGACACAGCATGAGCATAGAGAAACTTCAGGGAGAAGTTAGAGAAGAAAAAGTCAAGCAAGGGAAGAGAAAGAGAAAGGAAGAAGGGAAAGAATGACAGAAAGAAGGACTAGAAAACTGCTTTTTTTCCATATAGATCATTTTTGGTTTGGTTTGGTTTAGTTTGGGGCAGGGGGGGGCCAGGAAGCAAAATGCAAGATAAAATCATCCCCAGTAGGAGACACATCACTGGTTCATACACCTTGGAAAGCTTTCTCATTTCCTTTTTAGAGGAATGAGGTCAATTTCCTATGATAATACAAGTTTCACTTCATAGGAAATGTCCCTTCCTGGACCTTTTTTATGTCTTTGCAAACTCACAATGAATGTTTGTTTTTTCAAAAGAAACCTGACTGTAGGATGAAAGTGGCAATACCGGTGTAGAAAGAGGCTCACATAAAATATTTCTGAAAGAGCCTATTTTTATTAATCCTGTTTGTTAAACAAGATTAATCTCAAAGATCAACAAATCTTTATTAATTTCAGGTTTTTTTGGGGGTTGTCTGGGAGAGAGATTGGACATTTTGGGGCATAGATCTAAGATTTTTTTAATGGAGCTTCCAGTATGGAAACTCCCCCCACCAATACCCATCAGCAACTGTTCTGCAATTGGTAGTCTTAGAGAATTGTCTCGAGTCACTAAGAGGTTAAGTGACAGCCAGTGTGTGCCAGAGGCAGGATTTGAAAGTAGGTCTTCCTGCCTCCAAAGCCATCCCTCTAGCCACTTTACCAAGTACCCTCATTTTTTATTAGGAGAAATTTAAAAATGCATGAGTTTAGCTGTTTTAAGAGACAGCAAGAGCAGTGGCCGAGGTTTCAGAGGAGACCACAGGCCACCACTCCCTCTCTGTGACCCTAGGGAAATGATTTCAGTCTTGAGGCCTCACTTTCCTCGTCAATATACTAAGAATTTGAGCTAGATGGGGAAGAACCAGAGGTCTCAGCTCTCAGAAGGACCAGACTAACAACCTAGAGGCCACTAGGTGGCACCATAGTGCACAGAGTACGGGCATGGAATCTATACAAATCCAGCCTCAACCCTTAATGGCTATGTGACCCTGGGTAGATCACTTCACCTCTGTCTGTCTCAGTCTCCTCAACTGTAAAATGGGATGATACTACTTAACTCACTGGGTTGTAAGGATTCAAGGAGACACTATTTGTGAAGCACCTAGCGCTGTGCCTGGTACATAGCAGGCACTTAATAAATGCTGATTTCCTTCTTCCTATTTTCTGCAGTAAGAGAAGCAGCATTCACTCCCACCAGAGGCAGCCCATTCTACTTTTGAATGGTTCTAATCTTTTCAGACTCCTTCCAGCACTAACACTCTTTCATTCTTCATACACAAAGAATGGAGAAAGCTGTATTTTGGGGACTGGGCAGTGATGTGATTCCCTATTTCTCTAGGGCTTTAACATTTACGAAGTGCTCTTTTCCCAACAGCCCTGTGGCTCCTGCCTAGCTTTCCAGGCTGGCTTCTCCAGCTGCCCTTCGCACACTCTACATTGGCAAGCCGCTCTACTCACTGGCCTCCAGACATGGTTGGGTTAAATTGAATTATCTACATTAAAAGAGGAAGACAGCCACTGTACCAATCACCTCCATCTCTCTCTCTGCTCCCCATACTCTTCTATCCCTTGGACCTCTCTCTTACTGTGTGCAAAGACCACCGGATAGAGATAGGCTCTGAGCTTGAGTCCTAGCGCTACCTGGATACTGTCTGAGTGGCCTTTGGGCAAGTCACTTAAGCTCTCTGGGACCTCAGTTCCATTATCAGTAAAATGATATTTTAAAGTATTTTCATGATTTATCTTGAAGGTCCCTTCCAGCTCTAAGGGTGCAATGCCTGGTTTTTTCTCAAATTCCTGCTATCTCCTGGGACTCTGAGATCTGTTGATTTGTCCTTCATTCTCAAAGAGTACTATGACCTAGTTTTCTCCTGAAGACACCATCTCTCCAAGGCTGGCCTAGGCTACTCCACACCCCATGACACCTAGGTCAAGGAGGAGAAGTTGGCTACTCCTGAACTTCCCGACCTGGAAGGACACCGTCTACCCACAAGGATTCAACTTCCAGCAACACACAAACACATACATACATACACACACATGCGTGCATGCCACGGCAGTATAGACCTACCACACATAAAATATGACATATTTCTGTACATGTCTCCACCCCATGAATATGACTCAATCCCGAGTCACCAGACTCAGGGCAGGTACCCATCCTGCCGTCCCTCACTTCTGTCTCCCAACATCCCATCAGACTCCAAGGGATTCTCCCACCAAGTACCACTGACCCCTCACACACTCCTCAACACCATATCCTGAGTTCATGCTACCCCAGAAGCATAGGGGAACCACCCCTATATCCCCCAGCCTCAGTGACCCTGAGTTTTTTCCTCCCCTACCTGCCCAAGGTTAGGTTCTCTGATTTAAACCTTTTCACCTCCCTCCATTACTACGTAGCCAAAATTAAACCATCTATTCATTCATTCATCCATTCATTCATCTGACCATTCATTTACTCATTCATCCATTCATTCAATAACCCACTGTTCTCTCTGTCTTTGTTAAATGCCAAATGTGTCCAATGGTTCATCACCAGGCTCTGGAAGGGGTACGAAACTGAGACAAAATCTACTTCCTGCCCTCACAGAGTTCAGAGTTTATAAAAGAAATGACACCAGACAATTAGTCAACAAGCATTTATTAAGCACCTGCTGTGTGCCAGGCACTGTGCTAAGCACTAGCAATACAAAGAAGGACCCTCTCCCCTCCCCCCCAAAAAAACCTCCACCAACACAAATAAATGTGATGCATGGCATTACAGGGTTAGCACGTTAGAGTCATATTCCAGCTCTGGTGCGTACTGGCTGTGTGACCTTGGACAAGTCACTTCTCTCCGAGGGGCCTCAGTTTCCTCCTCTGTAGAATGAGGGGATTACACTAGAAGGTCCCTCTGAGCTCCAGATCTGGGAGCTTGGGATCCCAGGAAGATCTCCAGATAGGGGCAGTTGTCCCTTAAGGCCTTGCCTGGACACCCGGAGGAGGGAGAAAAGATGAGGTAACCCCTTGGGCCCTCTCTTGTGGCAAGATCTGGGCTAGGAGGGACTGGGGAAGCCCCAGAAAGTTCCCTAGTCACTCCAGTCAGCAGCAGGCTAGGGGAACAGGTCGGGCTGGTATCTGAAGAGCCAGGCCAGCCCACAGGAGTGGAGGCCTGGCTCACTGGTCCCCTCCCTGCTTGTTTGTGGGAAGGCTGAAGGAGAGGGCGAGAGGGACCAGCGTCAGGCCAAAGCCAGCCAGACACACTGGTCTTGACCCCTGCCTAGTGCCCACCCTGACGCTATCATCTCACTTTGTACCTGGACCAGCTGGGAGACAGCTGAGAAACAGACTCTCCAGGGAACCCTTCTCTCCAGGGTCTGGAAGACCCTGGCCACACAGGGAAGTGGTGGCCTCTTGGAGGAGCAGCAACAGCTATGTCCCAGCCCCACGGGGGAGGCTGTGTCTGGAAAGAGTTTGTGTTCACAGGTGAGAGAGGGCTCCCCCGGGGCTGATGGGGGAGGGCCTGATCATAAGGCTTTAAGCAAGAAGGAACTTTAGAAGGAGTCTAGCCCAGCTCTCCCATTTCACAGAGGGGTAAACTGAGACTCAGAGAGGGGAAGGGTTGCCCAAGGCCACACAGAGATAGATGGACACTGTGTGATCCCCACTGAGTAAGACAAGTCAAGAAGATAGTGTGCGTGTGTGCATGTGTGTGTGTGTGTGTGTGTGTGTGTGTGTGTGTGTACCTGTGTTGGAGAGGCAGGCAATAAAAGTAACAAGGGGCTGGGACACACGTCCCCATTTTAGGTAAATAGGACCATTGCCTCCCTGAGAGAAGGAGAAGAGTCCCCTCCCCAGATAGAGCCAAGACCCCCTACCAGTGGAAGGGGAAGAGGAAGAGGAAGAGGCCTTGGGAGCCCCAGATGGGCAGCCAGAGATGAAAATCCTCTGGGCCTCAGTTTCCTCATCTTGAAAACAAAGATAAAGTGCACTAAGGGATCAGATGAGCTCTTGTCTGAATAGGTGTTTTGCTCTGCTCACCCTCTACTTTCCATTATATTTATTTGTGAACATGCTGTGCTATGCCCTGGGAAAACGTAAGTTCCACGAGGGCAGGGAATGTTTCATTGTTCATCTTTGTGTCCACATTGCCTTACATACAGTAAGACCTTGGCAAATGCCAACTGAATTTCATTGGGCAGAATGGATGGCAAGCTCCCTTCTATTACTAACAATGTATGTTCTAAACTCATTCAGCTCTAACATCCTCTGTTCTAAGGGCCTTTTACCTCTGACTTTCCCTATTCTAAGACCCATCACAGCTCTGATATTCCCTTTTCTCAGGCCCTTCCCAGCTCTGAACTTCTGTGTTCTAAAGGCCCTCCCACCTCCGACATTCCATGTTCTAAAGGCTCTCCTGTCTCTGACAGTCTCTGTTCTAAGATCCCTCTCAGCTCTGACATTCCCTGTTCTAAGGTTCCTCCCAGTTCTGACATTCCATGTTCTAAGGTTCCTCCCACCTCTGACATTCCACACTCTAAGAGCCCTTCCTACTCTGACTTTCAATTACTCTATAATTTAAAGGGTCAAGAAAAAGCTTCTCCAACTAGCTAGGCCTAAGGTCCAGGGATCACTGTTAGCCCATTTCCCATGCACCCACCCACCCACCCACCCCTCCCTGGTTGTCCTCAGGGCCCACTCCACTCCAGTTGAGGAGGGTGGGACTATCGCCTTCAGGATCTTCCCTCTGCCTCTCTCACAGCCTCCCTGTTGGCCTGGTGGACCGCCCATCAGGCCTGGGCCGCTCTCCTCATCGAGAAGATTCCCGAGGTGCCGCAGGAGGGCCAAGACATCCTTCTGTCTGTTCATGGTGTCCCAGGGGCCATCCAGGATTTCAACTGGTACCAGGGTGAGGAGACTGATGGGGGCACAATGATCTTCTCCTACATCCCAGGCCTGCAAAGGCCTCAGAGGGACGGAAATGCCATGAAGGGCAGGAACATCATTGGATTTCCCAACGGCTCCCTCCTCCTCCGCCAAGCCAAGCCCAAGGATAGCGGTACCTACCAAGTGGGCATCACCATCAATCCAGCCTGGATCATGAGGGTCAAGACTGAGCTACGAGTCACAGGTGAGGGGAACTTCAGGGGGGAAAGGGCTAAGAGGAGGCTCATGCCTTCTGGTGGAAAGTGCCCAGTCCAAGAGGGGGATGCAGCTCTGCCTGAGGGCAGCCCCTGGCCTGAGGGGAGAAACATGCCTGCCCTTGAACCTGAAGTCCAGCCCCTGGAAAGGTTACCCAGAGACCTACAAGGAAAACCTTCCAATTAAATTAGAATGTCAGAGCCTTTCAGCTTACCTCCCCCATCTGACATAAGGGGAAACTAAGGCACAGGGAGGGGATGGGATTTGCACCATCTCCTACAGCCAGGGCCCCTGACTTGCAGACCAGGGTTCTGCCCACTACATATACTTCTGAACCTCAGAACCTTAGAACACAGAATGTGGGACCTCATCTCAGAGCTGAGAAGGACCTTAGAACTGAAAACATAGAATGTCAGAGCTATGAGTGCCCTTAGAACAGGGAATGTTGGAGTTGGGAAGGGGCTTAGAATGGGAATGTTGGAGTTGGGAGGGCCCCTAGAACAGGGAATGTCAGGGCTGGGAGGGCCCTTAGATCAGGGAATATCAGGGTTGGGAAGGGGCTTAGAACAGGAATGTTGGAGTTGGGAGGGCCCCTAGAACAGGGAATGTCAGGGCTGGGAGGGCCCTTAGAACAGGGAATGTCAGGGCTGGGAGGGGCTGTAGAACTTGGAATACCAAGGATGCTGAAGCCAGCTATACTCACCTCTTAACAGAAGGCTAATGGACTCAGGACTGAGAAGAACATTTATATTCTTGGACCCAGACAATGTACGGATTTATTTGGCTTGGTTTGCCCATGTTTATCCATCACAAAAATTGTGTGGTTCTCTTTTTATGGAGAGTGGGAAAGAATTGCTGAGGAGAAGAGAGAGGGTCGACGTTGCCCAGAAAAGCATGGGAAGAAAGTTCAGGAGGAAACAAAGACAAGGAAGACGGTTTCGGTCCTAACGATATTAGCTCATATTTATAGAGCACCTACTATGTGCCAGGCATGGAGCTAAGTGCTTTATAGATCTCACCTCATTTGATCCTCACTACCACCATCGGAGGGAGGTGCAATTGTTATCCCCATTGTACAGATGAGGTTAAGTGACTTGCCCAAGGTCACACAGTTTGTAAGCATCGAAGGCTAGATTTGAATTCAAGGCTTCCTGACCCCAGTCTCAGCATTCTATCCACCTAGCTGCCTCTACTTTTGAAAGTAATATGCCAAATTTGTCATAAGCTTTAAAAACTAAGCCTCTCTACATTGTAAATTCACTTAAAGGACAGCATTTACTACTACTATGCAGGTGCCTACTTAGGGAAAGTCCCCTCTATTGTTTTGGAGTCCACATCCTGCTCGGGCATCCTGGTGGTGGTGATCTTATTGGCTGGCTATTGTGGTCCTGTCTGAGGCTAGATGGATGTGGTTGTGGTTGAGCATACGGACACACCAGCTGTTCCTGTGAGGAATATGAGAATTGGGTCTGGAGGCAGTGGCTGGGATCCCATCACACGCACGCGCCTGCTGGTCTAGTGAGGAATATTTGGGATGTTGAGTAGGGGGCCCTGTCATGTGGCTAAAGCCAGATTGTGTGGTCCAAAAAGGACGTGCCTGCTGTTCAGTGAGGCCCCTAAGGAAGTCAGAATATTGGGGCTGGGGGCAGTTTTATTAAGATTTCATCAGAAGGGAGAGGGCTTCCACTTACATCAGCAGAGGAGAGGGGTGTCCACTCCAGACCTGGGGAGCTCCATCAGAGCAGACCCACAAGACAGTCAGAGAATTCTGGGGCTCCCCCACGCCAGCCCGAGCCAGGACGTCCCTCAGCCTAGCAAGGTTCTCCTCTCGCTCTTTTTCAGAGAAAGGCGTGAACACCACCAGCCCCATTCCTAAGCACCAAGATCCAGTGGACAGCTCCTCGCCCATGAACTCGGGGATCACAGTCGCCATTGTCATCGGTTGCCTGGGTTTGGGAGTCCTTGTTGTGGGCAGTGGCTTGGTCTATCTGCTGGTCACTAGAAGCTGGAAGATCAAAAGTCCTGGGTACAGTAGTGCCCTCCTACTTTCCCTTTCCTTTCCCTCTGCCCCTCTGATTGGCAGCATGGGTCCAGATTAGGCTATGAAACACTGAGTTGGATTGCCCTTAGAGCTCACCTTCCAGCAAGAACAGAAATCTCCTCTGCCACATCCATGAGAGGTGATCATACAACTCTGCTTGGATACCTTCAGGAACAGGGAGCTCTCTCCTTCCTGGAGCAATCCACCCCATAGCAGATCACTAGCAAGTTCTTTATATCAAGAGGAAATCTGCCTCCGGGACCTTGGCACTTTCTCTTCCTCCCATCTCTTCCTCCTGGGGCCATGACACTTCTTCCCCTCATTTAGAGTCCATGATTATGCTCCCCTCCCCAGTGTTCTCCTTCCCCGTCTCTGCATCCCCACTTCCTCTGGCTGCTCCTTGCCTGATGTGACCTCCAATCCCTTCCTCAGGACCCTTTCCTCTCCAGCTTGTCAGCATTGAGGGGCCTAGAGTTGGACACCACGCTGCAGAAGGGAAAACTGAGTCCAAACACAGCAGGGATCAGGGACAGAGACGGGTCATCCCTGTTCAGAGCACACAGGGTGTTAGGGGAGGCGGTTGGCACACCCATGCCTCACCCCTCCAGGAGCCACTGAGCAACCCCAGGCGGGTCTATTATCCTCTCTGGGCCTCAAACTCCTCCTCGGTCACCCTAGAAGAGGACACAACCCAGCCCAAGACAACCAGAACCCTCTGATTTTCCTCCAGGGCCACCACCGCAAAACCAGACCTGGGAAGACATATGTGCCACAAACACAAAGCTGGTAAGAGCAGAGACCAATGGGGGCAGGGGGCTGGGGGTCCCCAGACAGTCAGTCAGCCCCCCTACTTCTCCCCCACCCCAGACAGCAGTAATATCTACGAGGTGATCCATTCTCCCAGCATCCTGATCACGCCAGCGAATGATAAAGGAAGTGGCAGTCCAAACCTGACCACAAGTGTGGTAAGAGTCTCTCTCCCTTCCTTCCCTACACATGTCCCAAGGCTCACCCTGCTCTGCAGAGATCTCAGTAACTTCCCAAGCACATTCCCAGATGAGACCTCGGCCCACAAGAGCCAGCCCAGAGAGGAAGGCGGGGCAGAACTGATCATGCTCATTCTACAGATGGAGACAGGAAGCCATCTGCTCATTTGCTGGGCTCAGGCAAAGGGCGAGATCAGGACGCCTCAGCCTGAAGCTCATTCTCTTCCCATCAAGGGCCTCAGCTCCTTCCTGGGGAAATTGGGGAGGGGATAGGTCAGGAGAGGAGGTCCAAGGTCAAAGATTAAAGAGAAAGGATAAGGCTACCAGTCAAAGGTTTTAGCTGGGGAAAACCAAAAGCATGCTAAAGGATTTGCCTACGGGTTTTAGGGTTATACATGGAGCCAAAGATCAATGTGGGGAATGGGGGAGCAGGGAATAACCTGTAGTTATGTGTGCTCTATCCATGCCCAGCCCCAGGCCAGGAACCATGAAGAGGAAGATCAGTGCTACCAGGTATCAGAACACAAGATGGGGGGGGGGGAGGCAGGTGGATGTGCTGGGCAGGGGCAGGGGGAGGGAGCAAGGGAGGGTGGGGGATGGAAGAGAGCCTGCAGATGGACTCTGGGAGGGCCCAACTCTTCCTTTCTATCTCTGGATCTCCCTGTCTCCTCCACTTTCTGAATCTCTCTGCCTCTTTTTCTTTCTCTCACAGAAGGACAGGGTGTTAAGACTGGCAGGGTCCATACAACATAAAACATCAGATCTTGAAGGGTCTTTAAAATACAGAACAGGGGATGTCAGAGCTGGGAGGGGCTTATTATTGACTCCTAATGAGCTCAAAGTCCACTAAGACCCCCAGATCTTTTTCAGACAAACTGCTGTCCCGCCACCTGTCCTTCATCCTATACTTCCAACTCTGCCCATCGCCCCACACTGCTCTCCCTCTGTGGGTCTCTCTCTGGCTCCCTCCCCATCTCTCTGGGTGTCCAGCTACTCAGACTTTAGCCACACTCACTTTCTTGCTCTCCACCCAGGAGCTGCAGGACCCAGACCCTGCTCCGTACTGCCAACTCACACCCACAGCCTGACCTGAGAACCCCTCCCTCCTGGAGCACTGCAGCCAGGGCTACCACTGAGAAACAAAACCTTTCCAGAAATAGCTCAAGATCTGGGATCCAAGGCGGCCTGGGCCACCGGTGCTGCTGGACAGGATCAAGCTTGGGCAGAGTTCCCAGAGGGAGGCAGCAAGGAGGGCATGGCCTAGGCCCCACTCACCTCTCCCCTGTTTGTGTCTCAGTCCTCATTAAACAGGACTTCTCCTAGCCCAGGCTTGTCCCTGAGGATGATCCTGAGAGGGCAGGTGCCAGGGGCTGGGGTTCTGGACCCTGCAAGAAGGGGACACGCAGAAGGAAGCTGGGAGTTGGAAGTGTAGAATCTCTGCCAAAGGCATTGAGAGCAAATGGGCCTTCCCTGCCCTGGACTGCTGTCCCCAAGCCTCATGGTCCTCTACCAGCCACCCTGGAATGTAGGATGGTGTTACATCTTCCCTCATTGTTTGCCATCTGGCAAATCATCTCCTGATCCTGGTTCTCTAGTAAATGGCCGGGGGGGGGGGGGAGGGAATGAGCACTCATTAAGTGCCTACCCTGTGTTGGCCACTGTGCTAAACACATCTAGAAACATGATCTCCTTTGAAGCTCACAACCTTGAGAGGTAGATGCTATTATGAGTCCCATTTTACAGTTGAGGAAACTGAGGCAAACTGAGGGCTTTTTTTTTGGGGGGGGGTTAAGCAATTTGTCCAGAGTCACCCAGGTAGCAAGTGTGGGAGGCTGGATTGGAACTCAGGGGACTGCTCCATGCCACCACCACATAGAGGCCTATTAGCTGTCCCAGGAATGTTTCACTTCCTTCTTTCCTGCTATAGTAGAAAGAACGCCTACTCCAAAGTTGGGGAGCCTGGGTTCAAATTCAAGTGTGGTTCTAGGCAGTTAGCTTCCCCATTAGCTTCAGTTTTCACATCTGTAAAATGAGGCGCTGAGTTCTATGGCCTCTGAGGCACTCAGGGTGGGGCTCTGTCTGTCCGCACCTCCCCAACGACAGTAACAGCGCTGGCCACAAGCCGTACCTGTCCCTCCACTGGGGTCATGTCATCCAGCCCTCTGCCTCAGGAAAGGAAAGTTCTACCTGCCTTCTCTGGTCACAAGATGTAGGCATCCCACGGGACAGACAGCCACCAGGTCATCGTGTTCTACTTCTCTCGTGCCGAAAGGACAAGGATCTGTCTCCCCGTCTTCTTGTGTACAATGAGGCAGGAGTGAAGCAGGCGGGCACCTGAGGTCCCTTTCAGCCCGGACAATAGGCGATTGTGTGAATTGAATGTGGCTTGGGAGCCTGAGCGGTCGCCAGGGGGCAGCCCAGCCACACAGACTGATGATGCCTCTGAGTGGCTTCACTTGGCTTGGGCTTGTTTTTCTGGCTTTCAACTAAAAGTCCCCCTGGAAAATCTCAACATTCTGAGGTATTGTGGAAAGACAGGCAGGCACGTACTGCCCCACGGGTAGAGCTGGAACCTCCACCTTCCATCTATCATGGAAAGTGATTGGTGATGACCAGAGGGACCGTCCCCTTTGGCAAAGATCCCACGCTAGGCATGTAGAGAGAGGTCACTGGGAAAGAGACCTCAGTCACACCAGATTATTGGTAAGAGCACTCTTTGCGGTAGCCAAGAGGTGGAAACCGAGTCAATGCCCATCGATGGGGGAATGGCTGAACACGTTGTGGTCCCTGAAGGGAATGGAATGGGACTGCTGGAAGAATCCTGGGAATATCTTCATTAACTGACATAGAGGGAGGTCAATGGAGTCACAAAAACCCAACGTATGCAATGACTTTTTATTGCTCAGTCATTTTTCAGTCACGTCTGACCCTTTGTGACTCCATTTAGGGTTGTCTTGGCAAAGATATTGGAGTGGTTTGCCATTTCCTTCTCTAACTCATTTACAGATGAGGAAACTGAGGCCAACAGTGACTTGCCCAGGGTCACACAGCTAGTAAGTGTCTGAGGCTGGATTTGAACTCAGGTCTTCCTGATTCCGGTGCTGTATCCACCATGCCACCTAGCTGCCCTCCACAACTTACCTGTAGCTAAAGGACTAACCATTCTCCAACTCTTCATGACTGTATTTGGAGTTTCCTCTTTAGGGGGTTCACTATACTATCGATTTAGCACCTCTCTCTGTTCCCTACTAAAGTGGTAGATTGGGGGGGGTTGGAGATATAAGCTACCTGGATCTCAGCAAAACTGATCCACCATGCTTGTAGAAAAGATGGAGTTAAATGAATTGGGTAATAACACAACTAGGGGGATTCAAAATTATTTGGATATGCTGGACCCAAAGAGTAGTGAGTAATGATGCAATGTCAACCTGGCTGGAGGTCTGCAGCAGAGTGCCCCAGGGATCTGTGCTGGGCTCCAAACTGGTTCACTCTCTTATCAACGACTTGGATAAAGGCCTAGAGGTCAGGCTAATGACATAAGGCTACATGGGAGAGCTAGTACACTGGATGATAGAGTCAAGGTCCAAAAAAGATCTTGATGGCTAGAACCTTGGGCTGAATCTTGTTAACTGAAATTATTCCATAGGCACAAGTGTAAAGTCTTAGACTTGGGCACAAACAAACAAAAAAACCAACCTGATAAGTATAATATAAGGGTCATCATGGCTAGACAGTGATTATACTGGAAAAGATCTGGGGGTCTCAGTAGACCCCCGTCAGGTTCACAGGAGTCAGTCATGGGATGTGGCAGCTGATGTAATCTTGGGCTGCACTGAGCAGCTGAGCTGCCAGGCGTAGGGAAGTGGCAGCCCCCATCCTCTGCCCTCACCAGACCTCGCCTGGAGGATCAGGTTCACTTCTGGGCACCGTGTTCAGAAGGATGTCGATAAGCTGCAGGCTGGAGAGCATCCAGGGGAAGAGAAGCAGACTGGGGAAGGAAGGATCGTGGGCCCGTGTCATATGAGGTCTGGCGGAAGGAGCCTGGAGGAGAGAACATGATAGCTGGCGTCAAGTACTTGAAGGATTGTCACGTGCGGGACCAATTACACCTGCTTTGTTTGGCCCCAATGCCAGGGACAGAGAAGTGGGAGGGATGGGGAAACTGAGGCTGGAGGGCAGCTAAGCCTTCCCAACAATGATCCGAGCTGTGCCGGAGCTGACCAGGGCTGGGGTTGCGGGGGGGAAGGAGGGCTTCCAAAGGGGTCTTCAAGCAGAAGCTGGAATGTCAGTTATAGAGCATGTCCTAGCCAAGACTCCTGGTTACAGTTGAACTGGGTGATCCTTCCCAACTCTCAGATTCTCTGATTTGGTAATTCCCTGTTCTCAGGGCCCTCCCAGCTCTGACATTCCCTGTTCTGAGGCCTCTCCCAGCTCTGACATTCCCTGTCCTCAGGGCCCTCCCAGCTCTGACATTCCCTGTTCTAAAGGCTCTCCCAGCTCTGACATTCCCTGTTCTAAAGGCTCTCCCAGCTCTGACATTCCCTGTTCTGAGGCCTCTCCCAGCTCTGACATTCCCTGTTCTGAGGCCTCTCCCAGCTCTGACATTCCCTGTTCTCAGGGCCCTCCCAGCTCTGACATTTCACATTTCAGGAGCCAGGCTGTTTCAGTCAGTCAGTCAGTCAATGAGTGTTTATTAGTCCCCTACTTTGTTCCAGGTATTGTGCTAAGAGCTGAGGACACAGAGAAGGATAAAAGACAGTCCCTGACCTCAGGAAGCTCTCCGACTAATGGGGAAGACAATAAGCACACAGCTACAGACAGAGGAGGCACAGACAGGCTAAACTGGAGACAGACAACAGAGGGCGGCCACTAACATTAAGGGACATGGGGAAAGGCTTCCTGGGGAAGGTGGGACTTTAGCTGGGACTGGAAGGAAGCCAAGAAGCAGAGATGACCAGGGAAGGCGTTCCAGGCATAGGGCACAGCCAAGGAAAATGCTTGGAGTCTGGAGATGAAGGAACGAATTTGTGGAACAGCCAGGAGGTCACTGGAGTAAAGGAGGTTTAAGGTATGAGAAGACTGGAAATGGGGTAGGCAGGTGGGAGGAGCTGAGTCTTTGTTTTACAAACAGAAAAATGCAGCCACTGCTTCCAGAGACTTTCTGGTAGGTGGGCAGCAGTCAGCCCCCGGACATACATCTTAGAGTCTAAGAATGACAGAATGTTAGAGCTGTAAGGACCCAAGAGATCCTCCAGCCCAGCCCCACCATTTTAGGTGGGGGGAAACTGAGGCACAGAGAAGGCTTGGGGTTACAGCATGAGGCAGAGGCAGCCGGGTCTCCTGACTGCACTTTCTGGTTCCCAGTCCAAAGTTCATTCCATCACTCCATACCTCCTGCCCTCTCCCAAGTTAGTACAACAGTCTTTGTTTCTTGTCCCTCAGTGATCTCCAAGCACATAAAGGGACTGGCTGAGGAAGCCAGGTTCTGGTAATTCGGTAAGAGCTGTCCTGAAATCCTCCCCTTTCTGCCCCTTGCAACTGCCCCATCCACTCTGGCCTCTGGCCTGCTTGTCCTCCTGGTGCCTGAGGAACAATGAGAAAGGTACAGCCTCCCCTCCCCGAAGGGACTGGGGCAGGTCACGGCCCCATGGCTGCCCTTGGCACACACCAGCCAGGTGCCCCAACCGAGACCCAGATTTCTGGTGACTCGATCCCTCCAAATTCAGGTGATCTCCCCCACGTTCCAAGTCGCCACTCCCTCCCAGATCCCGCCCCAGACCCAAGAGGAGTCAGGACCAGGAGCGCTCACCTCAGGGACTCCAGAAGATCCCCAGGCACAGACAACAGGCTTCCTGGTCTCCATTTGGGAGTGACAAATGGCACTACCTTGGGGCAGCTGGGACCCCCACCAATGGGGCTGCTGGCCCTGCAAGGGGCTTCTCCTGACAGGTGAGACAGAACAGCAGTGCCCTGCTGTGACTCCCCAAACACACATACATACACACCCAAAGGGCTAGAGGGGAGACTTCAGTTTCTCCTCTCGTAAATTGAAGGCACTTGACTCTAAGGTGTCTTGTCCCTCCAGCTCTGAATCCCATGATGCTCCAAGACGGGCACAGAGGCTGAGGGAGAGGGGTCTCCCACATCCTCAGCGAAGGTGTAAGCCAAAGGTTAGAGCAAGTTTGGGGCTGGGGAGTGGAGGAGAGGGCCGGCTATGCTTGAGAATGGCCAGTGGCATCCTGTGCAGAGGGAGGGCATCCCAAGCCAAGTCCAGATTCTCCACTGCTCCTTCCCTTTCCATCTCGAGGGGAATGAAGACGATAAGGAGTTAAGGAAAGGCTATCGGAAATGAGGGCACCCACAAGCCGAGATTCTTGTTCTCCCTTTGCTACTCACTGCTGTGTAACCTGAGGCAGGGCACGTCCCCTTCTTTGGAAACCAGGTAGACCCCAGGGGTTGGGGCTCAAGGTTCACCACGGTCCCTTTCAGCTCTTATGCTCTCGGATTCTACTTTAGGAGAGATACCATCGGAATGTCCTTCTGTCTATTGATTCTTTTCCTTTACTCCCCTAACCTACCACTAAAACCCCAAAACTGAGACCCTGATGTCACAGATTCAGAGGGGCAGAGCTGGAAGAATGGGAGAGCATCAGATATCATCACTGGGGAGACTCTGAGAATGTCTCAACACAGAGCATCAGAGTGGGAAGGGCACTTAGAACAGGGAATGTCCAGGCTGGGAGGGACCTTAAGACATGGAATGGGAGAATTGGAAGAGTCCCTAGAACATAGCATGTCAGAACTGGGAGGGACCCTTATAACATGGAATGTTAGAGATGGAAAAGTGCTTAGAACAAGAAATGTCCAAACCGGGAGGGACCTTAAGACATGGAATGTGAGAACTGGATGGGTCCCTAGAACATAGAATGTCAGAACTTGGAAGGACTCTTAGAACATAGAATATCAGAGCTGAGAGGGACACTTAGAAGCAGGAATGTTCAGGCTGGGAGGGAACTTAGGACACGGAATGTGAGAATTGGAAGGGTCCCTAGAACATAGAATGTCAGAACTTGGAAGGACCCTCAGATCACAGAATATCAGAGCTGGGAGGGACCTTAGAACATGGAATGTTAAAGATGGAAAAGTGGTTAGAACAGGAAATGTCCAAACTGGGAGGGATCTTAGCACATGGAATGTGAGAACTAGAAGGGTCCCTAGAACATAGAATGTCAGAACTGGGAGGGCTGAGAACAAGGAATGACAGAGCTGGGAAGGGCCTTAGAATAGGGAATGTCAGAGCTGGAACAGACCATAGAGATCACTGAGCACATTTGTCAGACAAGACAACTGAGGTTCAAACATAGGAAATGACCTACCCAAGGTCTCACATAATCCAACTTTTCTTCTCACTCTCCCTTTCCCCTTCCTCCCAGCTCTCCTCCTAAATGCCTGGATCCCACCAGCCCCAGCCCTGCTGAACATCTTAGCCACCCCAGAAGAACCGGCCCAGGGGGAGAATGTCACCCTGCTGGTGAGAGGCCTCCCTGGGGAGCTCGTGGCTTACAACTGGTACCGGGGGACGAACCTCGACCAGGCCCACCTCATCCTGAGCTATATCATCATTACTGCGGACGAGACCCCCGGGCCTGCTTACACAGGCCGGGAAGCCGTCCGCCCCGATGGGAGCCTGGACCTCCGGGACGTGGTCCCTGAGGACTCGGGCAGCTACATCCTGCAGACCCTCAACCAGCAGTTCCAGACCGACATTGCCTACGGGCACCTGCTGGTCTATGGTGAGAGTGTCCCCCTGGCTGGCCCTCTGCCAGCTTCCTCCTCCTCTCCACCCGCTCCTCTCTCTTAATCTGTGATGCCCTCCCACCCCAGGATCGTAGCATTCCGTGCTTAAGAACCGGGAGGGCCTTAGAGGGCATCTGGTCCAACCCCTTCGTGTTACAGGTGAGGAAACTGAGGTCCAGAGAGGTTGTGACTTTCCCAAGTCCACTCAGGTCGTAAGTGGCTAGGTCGGGATTTGAACCCAGGTTCTCTGACTCCGGGTCCAGTGCTCTCTTCATGACACCAGGGTTTGTTTGGATTTGCGATATGTGAATTTCTCACGGTCTCCCATCCTGCCATCTCGAACAGTGTCACTTGGCCGGGGGACAGGGGGCGGGTCACCGTCTAGGTGGTGTCCAGTCCCCTCCCCCTCTGCCTCTCCCCCCAGAGATCCTGTCCCCACCTCTCCTCCTGGCCAACGGCACCAAGCTGGTGGAGCGGCGAGATGCCATTCATCTGCTGTGCAGTACCCCCAGCACGGGGGATGTCCGCTGGTTCTTTAATGGGGAGCCGCTCCCCATTGGCAGCCGTCTGGGGCTCACCCCAGACAACCGGGTGCTGGTCCGGCACAACGTCCGCAGAGAAGAGGCCGGGGCCTACCAGTGTGAGGTCTGGAACCCTGTCAGTGTCAGCCGCAGTGACCCCGTCAACCTAACGGTGTACTGTGAGTCTTCCCCAAGACCCTCCACCTGCCCTCTGCCCCTGCCACACCTGCGCTTGGGCCTCCTCTGCCAGAGAAAGAGGTAGAGAACCATCATTACAGGTCAGGGAATGGCAGAGTTGGAAGGGCCCTCAGAGCAGGGAATGTCAGGGCTGGTAGGGGCCTCAGAACAGGGAATGTCAGGGCTGGGAGGGGCCTCAGAACAGGGAATGTCAGGGCTGGGAGGGGCCTCAGAACAGGGAATGTCAGAGTTGGAAGGGCCCTCACAGCAGGGAATGTCAGAGTTGGAAGGGCCCTCAGAACAGGGGATGTCAGGGTTTGGAGGGACCTCAGAACAGGGAATGTCAGGGCTGGGAGGGGCCTCAGAACAGGGAATGTCAGAGTTGGAAGGGCCCTCAGAACAGGGAATGTCAGGGCTGGGAGGGGCCTCAGAACAGGGAATGTTAGGGCTGGGAGGGGCCTCAGAACAGGGAATGTCAGAGTTGGAAGGGCCCTCAGAACAGGGGATGTCAGGGCTGGGAGGGGCTTTAGAATACAGAAGGTCAGGGCTGATAAGGGCCTTAGAACTGAGAATGACAGAGCTGGGAGGGACCTTAAAACAAAGAATGTCAGATCTATTTTATAGATAGGCAAACATGCCTAGCAGGCGTATACCCAAAGGCCCACCAGGAGCCGGGGCTGCCGGGGCGATGAAGCCCTCAACTCCCCTCCCCCCAGCCCCATTGCTCTCCTTCGGGCCTCTCCCTGTGCTCTCTCCCAAGATGGCCCGGATCGGGTAACGATTGTCCAGGAATCTGCCTTCCGGATGGGCTGCACCGTGGAAGCTGAATTCAACGCGTCTCTAACACTTTGGTGCGTGACCAGGTCCTGCCCAGACCCGGAGTACATGTGGTCTGTCAATGGGCGGCCCCATGACAGCACCACCAGCTACCTCAGCATCAGTGGAATGACCAAGGACAAGGAAGGGACCTATACCTGCATTGCCAAAAACCCTATGACCGAGCTCTCGGGCTCGGCGTCAGTCTTGGTCAAGATGTCGGGTGAGTTGCCCCTTCACCTCTCGAGCACAGCCCTGCCCCATTGGGTAAGTAAGAGCATGAGGGGGGTTGACCGGGCCGTGGGGACACCTGACAGAGGGAGGGATCCCAGTCCTTCCCTAGGGGGATGTAGCCGTAGAGTCAATGGACACTCGAGATCTCACCAGGGTCAGCTTCCACCCATGAGCCAAAGTGATGGTCAACCAGCTGGCCAGTCCATCTGGGCCTCAGCTTGCCTCTGTTCCTGCTGCTGCTGCAGAGCAGGGATTCAGACGAGGTGACATCCGACAGGCCTCCCTGCTCGGTGTCTGTGAACCAGCTGCCCAATGACCTATTCCAGGGCTCACAAGTGGGGAGACTGGCGGGAGTCTGGCCCAGGCCACGCAGCTGGGGACAAAGCCTATCAGTCAGTAATTCACAGTCAAAAGGATGGCAGGCAGCCTGGTGCAGTGCGCATGTAGAGTGCTAGATAGAGCTCAGAAAAAAGGCCTGGTCCTTTCATTCAGAGGATGCAGGAGGGAGACCAGGCCCCCTCTCTGGACCTCATCTGTTCCTCTGCAAAAGAAAGGGGATGAACCGAACAGCCTCGAAGACTCCCTTCTGCCTCTTATGTTCTAGGCCCTTGACTTCCAAACATTCTATGTTCTTGAGTTCTGACATTCCATGTTCTAAGTTCCCTTCCAGGCCTGGTATTTCATGTTCTAAGGTCCCTTCTTCCTCTGGTACTCTATGTTCTAGGCTTCCTTTTAGTTCTGGCATTCTGTGTCCTAGGATCCCTTCCAGGCCTGGTATTCCACGTTCTAAGCTCCCTTCCTCTTCTGGTACTCTATGTTCTATTTTCTCTTTAGCTCAGGCATTGTCTGAGGGTCCCTTCCAGGCCTGGCATTCCATGTTCTAAGGTCCCTTCTTCTTCTGGTATTCTGTGTTTTAGTCTTCCCTTTAGCTCAGGCATTGTCCAAGGGTCCCTTTCAGGCCTGGCATTCCATGTTTTAAGGTCCCTTCCTCTTCTGGTATTCTATGTTCTAATCATCCCTTTAGCTCAGGCATTGTCCAAGAGTCCCTTCCAAGCCTGGCATTCCATGTTCTAAGGTCCCTTCTTCTTCTGGTATTCTATGTTCTAGTCATCCCTTTAGCTCAGGCATTGTCCAAGGGTCCCTTCCAGGCCTGGCATTCCATGTTCTAAGGTCCTTTCTTCTTCTGGTATTCTATGTTCCAGGCTTCCCTTTAGCTCTGGCCTAGTATTCCATGTTCTAAGGCCTCTTCCAGGCCTGGCATTTTATGTCCTCAGACTTCTTCTACCTTTGATGTCCCATGTTCTCAGGTCCTTCTTAGCTCTAGAATTTATGATGAAAATTCATGTCCTAAGTTCCTGTCCAGCTCTGACATTCTGTGTTCTGAGGCCAATTTCAGCTCAGAAATTCCCCATTCATGAGGTCGAAGGCTGCCCCCAGACCTATGACTGTGATTTTGTGAAAACATGAGCGCAGCCATTTAAAGTAGCGACTCTTTTGTTGCCGGCTAGAATCCTTCTGGCCTGATACACTAGAGTTTGGGCGCCCGCACAGACAGAATGGGCGTGGTTCAGAGATTCCCAGGCTCCCTGGGGACAGTGGCCGGCCCCCAGGGACTATGGTTTGGCACCTCAAGACCTCATTAATTCACCATCAGTTCCTTCCCAAGAAAACCTCTCTGGTGAAGTGTCGGACGATACCATAGGCGGAAACCTGCCAGGACTGTCTCACTTAAATTGAGGGGTCTTGTCCCAAAGGTGGATCCTGTTTCTCCCCCACATGGGGGCAGGGTTCCCAGAGGTAAGTAAGTGGTCCTACAAAGAGTTGGAGACGCACTCTTAGGAGCCACCCTGCCTGGAAGCAATGGCGTGGGCATGGTGGTTAGTGGGGAAAGCACTGGATTTGGAGTCAGAGGTCTTGGGTTCAAATCCTGGCTTTTACTGCTTGGGTGACCTTGGACAAGTCACTTATCTCTCTCGGCCTCAGCTTCCTCCTCTGTAAAATAAGGGGGTTGGACAAATGATCTCTAAAGTCCCTTCCAGCTTGAAATCCTGTGATCCTGTGTCCTCAAAAGGTCCCCTCCTGGCTAAGGCAGAACTTGACAGAGATGGGCAAAAATCCATCTGGTTGAGTTCAAGGTACATGGAAAGCCATCTAGTTCGTGAGATTTGCTGCTCCCCACCACCCCTAAAGCCTCAGTACCCTTTGTGCTGGGTCTGAGGAGGAAAGACAGAGGAAAGAGGAAACAGTGCCCTTCTCTGAGGGACCTCGGTCTACTACTGACCCTAACCCAGTCTCCCCATTTCAAAAAGAAAGACTCCATTCTCATAGGGGAGACACAGACCCTATCCTCAGAGGGCTCCCAGACTGAAGGGGGGACACGGCCCCCATCCTCAGGGAGCTCCCAGACTGATGGGGAAGACACCCCCTTGTCCTCAGGAAGCCCTCAGACCAATGAACAAAAGAGTCCCCACCCACAGAGAGCTCCCAGACTGAAGGGGGGACACGGCCCCCATCCTCAGGGAGCCCTCAGACCAATGGAGGAGAAACGGCCCCCATCCTCAGGGAGCCCCTGGTCTAACAATAAGATATATACTCATCTTTGGGAAACTCAGTCTCTAAGAGGGGATGCACCATCCCTTCCTCAGCCTGTCTCCTCTTTCCTCCATTTCTCCTCCACATGCCCAGTACAGGGCTCAGCCTATGGGGTGGGCACTCAGTCCAGGGCATCAACAAATGGATGGACTGGCCAAGTGGCAATAGAATCGTTGACATTCATTCATTCATTCAGTGAGTCATTCTTTATTTCTTTTGGGTCTTCCTTCCTTTTGTCCTTTCCTTCCTTCCTTTCTTTCCCCTCTCTCTTTTCCTCTCCTTTCTTTTCTTCATTCCTTCCTTTCTTCCTGCCTCTCTTTCTTTCTTCCTTTAGTCTTTTCCTTCTTTTTTCTCTTTCCCCTTTCTCTTTCCCTCTCTTTCTTTTCATGTTTCCTTCCTTTCTTCCTGCCTCCCCTTATTCCTTTTGTTCTTTCCTTCCTGCCTTCCTGCCTTCTTCCTTCCTTCTTTCCTCCACTTTTCCCCCCTCTCTCTCTCTTTCTCTCTCTCTTTCTTTCTCTCTCTCTCTCTCTCTCTCTCTCTCTCTCTCTCTCTCTCTCTCTCTCTCTCTCTCTCTTTCTCTCTCTCTCTCTTGTCTCTCTCTCTCTCTCTCTCTCTCTCTCTCTCTCTCTCTCTCTCTCTCTCTCTCTCTCTCTCTCTCCCTCTCATTTCTTTCCTTCCTTTCACAAATTTTTGCCAAGCTCTTCCAACATGCCCAGCCCCACACTGGGCTCCATTGCAGTAACACCAAGATAAACAAACCATATCTCTGTCCCTCCAGTAGCTTACAATGCCCCTCTCATTTCAGTTGCCACTTCAGCCATGACGATAGTGCCTGTTCCTGCCAAGCCCACCGAGGGAAAGGATGTCATCCTGTCTGTCCAAGGCTATCCCAAGGATCTTCTGGTCTATGCCTGGTACCGAGGGACAGCCTCTGAGCCCAATCGCCTGCTCAGCCAGCTGCCCTCTGGAAATTGGATTGCAGGGCCAGCCCATACCGGGAGGGAGATAGGTTTTGCCAATTGCTCATTGCTCATCCAGAAGTTAAACCTCACAGACACCGGCCGCTACACCCTGAAGACTGTCACCCTGCAGGGCAAGACAGAGACACTGGACGTCCAACTGCAGGTCTCAAGTAAGTTACCGACCTCGTTCTTCCCAAACGCATTGGGGGTGTGTTCTGTGCATCTGTCTGTCTGTCCTGTCTTCAACAATGGTGATCTCGGCTGTCCCTCAGACTGAGCGCTGAAACCATGTCACGCTCCCTCAGATCAGAAGTTCCCTGAGGACAAACTATGTCTCCTTTTTCACCACAATGGTTCCTGGGAGCAAAAGCGTGTCTCTCTATATTAAAAGTTCCCTGAGGGTGGGACCATGTCTTCCCCCCTCAGACTAGGGTCCCACGCGAGGGAAGTATCTCATTCAGTCATTATTAAACTCATGGTGCTGAGTTTCCATCATAGCTATATAGGCCCAGAGATAGGTACAGTTTCTCCCCCATCAGACTGGCAGAATCCCAGTGGGCAGGAACAATATTTTGTCCTTGAACTGAGAACTCCTGGAGGGCTGGGGACCATGTCTTCTCCCATCAGAATGGAGCTCCCTGACCATGGGGACCGTGTCTCCCCCATCAGACTGGAGGAGCCCATGTGGGAGAATCCTATCAGCCCCAACCAAACAGGAGTTCCTTGAAGATTTGTACTATGTCTCCCCCATCTGACTAGGAGCTGCCTAAGGGAGAAAAACTGTGTCTCCCCCCATCAGGCTGTGGGCTCCCTAAAGATGAAGGCTGTGTCTCCCCTATCAGACTGGGGGCTCTCTGAGGGATGGGGACCATGTTTCCTCCATCAGTCTGGGAGCACTCTGAAGGTAGGGGGCCGTGTCTCCCCTGCCACACTGGGGAGTCCACCCCATCCCATGGAAAGCTTCTTAAAGCTGAGGATCATGCCTCCTTTCTCCAGCTGAGAGCCCCCTCAAAGATCAGAGCTGTGTCTCCCCCATCAGACTCATCAAAGAACAACTGGGCACTCCCTGAGTTCAGGCACCCTGTCACTCCCATCCTCCAGGGAGCTCCCTAAAAAATGGGAACCGTGTCTCCTCCATCAGAGCTCCCTGAAGTTGGGAACTGGGTCTCCCCCACTCAGACCAAGGGATCCCCAAGACTGGCAGCTATGGATTCTCCCATTGGATAGGGGGAACAAGGAGAGAGAAAAGGATAAATTAGAGTCAATGGAATCCCCTGCTTATAAATCATCTCTCCAGACTAACCTAGAACCTAGCATAAACATCTGGCTGCCCTTGTCCCTGGAGAAGACCAGGGACACAAAACTGGTTATGCCCCCCAAGGCTTTGGGTACATTCTTGGGCCATCTCTTTTTTCAGAGCCCATTTCCCTTCCTCTGTTCTAGTAATATATCTCATTACTATCATCTTCATCATCATTGGTGTGTCTACTTCAGCATGCTGCCTCCATCACCTTCATTTCTCCAGAACTTACATTTCCACACACTTCCCTGTCAACACTACTCCATGAGACAGTATGATTGGCCCCATCTTACAGATGAGCAAACTGAAGCTAAGTGACTCACACAAGGTCATACAGCAAACATCAAGCTCTGGTCTCACATCTACAAGCCCAGAGCTCTTGCCACCACCTCACACTGTATGCCTCGATGATGATGGTAATGCCAACTACCACAAACAATGGTCACAATAATCATAATCTAAAAAGATGAGAAGAACAGAAGATACTAGTCTTAACAAATGTCAAAAGCAGCATGATATATCAGACAAAGAGCCGGCCTCAGAGTCAAGCTCAAGACCTCCCTATGGCATTTACTTGCCATCTGACCCTGGGCGAGTCATTTAATCTCTTAGCGCCCCTGGAAAGTCTTCCTACATCAGTGAAATCACAAGTCTAGTCAAAGAGAGAGAGAGAGAGAGAGAGAGAGAGAGGAGAGAGAGAGAGAGAGAGAGAGGGAGGGAGGGAGGGAGGGAGGGAGGGAGGGAGAGGAGAGGGAGAGAGAGAGAGAGAAGACAGAGAGAAATGTGGATGGATAGATGGAAAGAAAGACAGAAAGAAAGAAAGAAAGAAAGAAAGAAAGAAAGAAAGAAAGAAAGAAAGAAAGAAAGAAAGAAAGAAAGAAAGAAAGAAAGAAAAAAAGAAAAAAGAGGAAGGAAGAAAGGAAGGAAGGAAGGAAGGAAGGAAGAAAGGAAGGAAGAAAGCAAGGCCAGTGGGATCTATCAGATGAGCCAATGAGATCATAGATTCGTCAAAGTATCCAAGGTATCAAGTTACTATTATTATTGTTGAGTTATAATTAATAATAATCCTTAATTCTATTACAGTTACATTATATATATATACATATATATAATATATATAATATATTATAGTTAATTCTATTACAGTTTTCCAGGGCTATTAAGGTTTATCAAAGCACTTTCTTCCTGTCTCCCCAGGTAGGTAGATATGCATTTTCACCACTAGGTTGTACAATGGGTAAGAAGTCTAGACTTAGAGTCAGGAAGCTGAGGGTTCAAATTCTGCCTCAGACACTTAACTAGCTGTATGAGAGACCTTGAGGAAATCACCTGGCCTCTCTGTGACTCTGATGAGCTATGAAATGAGGGGACTGGATTTAATGGCCTCCAGACTCCTTTCCCTCTCAAAATCCATGAGCTCATGAAGCTAGGGCTCAGAGAGAAGATATTAGACCACAGTTGCAAGGCAAAGAAGCAGCAGAGACAGAATTTGAACCCAGGTCCCAGATTCAGAGAAGCCCTTCCCAGTCAAGACTCCCATGGAGGAGACTCCTATCAGTCCCAACCACCCTGGGGTTTCTTTAAGATGTATTCCACGTCTCCTCCATCCCACTAGAGGCTACCAAAGTGGAAAGAACTGAGTCTTCTCCCCGCATCTGGCCAGGGGCTCCCTGAAAATGACTCATCTAGACCAGACTCCTCATTTTACAGATAGAGAGACAGAGGCTCGGCAAAGGGAAAGTCTGAGGTCACACAGCTAGGAAAAAAGGTGTCAGGATTTGAACCCAGGTACTCAGATTCCAAGTCCCAAGCTCTTCCAGGCACATCACACTGCCCATAAAATACTCCAACCCTAATTCCCAGACCTGAAACTTAGGTGGGAAGGAGTGCTGGGGAATGGGGAGGGGAGGGGAGGGCATGGGGAGAGGCCTGCAGTTCAAGGCTGGATGAGTGGCCCTCTTTCTGTGTGTCTGATCACCCTTTTTCCTCCCCCTATACCCCCACCCACTCCCACCTCATTCCACCCAAGACTAAGTCGCCCAGAGGAGATGGAGGAGGCAGAAAAAGAAAGACGGCTTCAGTCAGCACATCCATCCTTGGCAGCAGCACCCCCAGCCTCCCTCTGGCCCTCAGTCCAGGAAAAGGGCAGAATAGGCCAGGCCCTCAGGGAGGCTTTGAGCCTTTGGAATCTCCTGTTCTCCCAGAGCTTACAACCTAGTTTTAGAGCTAACTCTGGCCAGGCCGGGTAGGATTTTAAAAATACAGTTGATATCAGTTATCTGCACAGTGGATCATCCGTGGTTTTTCTTCTGCGTCGACGTCACAAAATGGTAGAGACAAAATGGTCATCCAGTGGCATAGACAACAGGCAGCCAGGGCTGGATCTTCCCTCCCATTCTCTCTGTGATCTCAATAAGAAGTCTTTTAGACACTTTGCTTCCCTCAATCCCCAGCTCGAGGGAAAGTGTGAGTCAGTTTGATTGGGAGTCAGTGATTCCTCACATTCGCAGAGCATTCAACAGTTTGGCCAAGCTCTTTCTAACCATCCACAAAGCTTTTGACAGGACTTCATAGTTTGTAAAACTTTCAAGCAACCACTAAGCTTTGACATTTCCCAACACTGGAGTCATCTTCCTATGCCTTATTGTGGGGAAAGTAGGTGAGCCCGAATTACCAAGAGTGGAAAATTTCCAAGGATGGGCTCAGAGATGTCCTGTATGTCTGGTTTTCATGGACCTACCTGAAGCTGAGAAGAACTCATTACCCAGTCAGCCTGAGAGAGACGAGGTTTTTTTTTGACTGTTACAACTTTTACTAACTTGCTGAGGGGTTGCAATCTGCCTCAGAGGAAGGCATTCTCACATCAGCCAAATTACCACATCCTAGAAGTTTAGAAGTGTGTATAGTTTTACAAGGCTTTTAGAATAGCTTTACAAAGCTGTGCCTTCACATAAACGCTTTAGTCTTCCAAAGTTGGTTTTGTTTTGGGGTGTTTTATTTTTTGGATTTGTTCTATGATTTCATCCATGTGGAATGAGCCTCCAGTGTGGAATTTTCTCTACCAAGGCAGAACAGCACCTGTCACTTAACAGCCTTGGTGAGTTCCCTGGGGGCCCCGGAGAGGAGATGATCCCCAATCAGACTCACCCGGGTCACCCACCTTTCAGAGTTGTAGGAGGTGACGGCATTTTGAAGCTTCACAAAGCCCTTGAGGACTTTGTTAAGACTTTCCTTCCTTAAAATTCACCACACCAGGTGTGTTACAAACTGCCTTCACATCCAAGGGTCCTGAATTATCCAAAGCTGGAAGGAACCTGATATACCATCTGGCCCAAATCCTTCATTTCACAGATATGGAATCTGACTCTTCATCTGGCCTCAGAGAGGGAAAGAGACTTGTCCAAGGTCACACAGGAAGAGGGAGGGGGGCAGAACTGGCTCTAGACCCCAGGCCCCTACCTCCAAGTCCAGGGGTCCTTTCATCCCCACCCCATCAACAAAATGGGTGACTTTTCCACCTTTCACCTCCTTTCCTGTGCAAAGACCCTCCCTGGGAAATACTGACTAATCCCTATCCTGAAACCCCCAACAAAGGGATCTGGAGCCATACCCAAAGGTTTTTAGGTTAGATGTTGGCAGACCTCCTTCTGTTTTCACTTGTTCCAGGTACACAGGCAGAAGGTGTGGCTAGGAATCGAGGGCAGAGAGCTGAGGGGGAGGGGAGCAGATCAGTTTTCTAGGTTAAGCCAGATTCCATGTCTCCAGAGCCAGGCAGCTCAAGTATCTCAGGCCCTGGGAAGTCAAGCAAACTCGCAGGACTGGCAGAGGCTCACCCACCCAGAATGTCAAGGCTAGAAGGGCTAATTAGAGAATAGGATCGCATGCACTCACATCCCACGGGAGAACTCAACCCAGTTGTAACGAGAAACTCTCAGGAGTGAAATTCTGAAGGCGAAGATGGAGGGGAAACTATATGAAGCAGAAGAAAGGGCAATTGTCTAAAGAGATGAATTTGGATGCACCACAATCACAGTATCACCAGCTTTGACTTTTAAAAGACACATACAAAAGAAAGAAATGAGGGCAGGTGATGGAGGATGAGTACAAATGCATGGCAAAGCCCTGTAAAAATAGAACTAGGAGAGCTGAGGCTCACAACAAGCTGAGATTGGCCAAGAAAAGAAAAAACAAGGTGTCTATATTGGGGGAAGGAGAATCAAGGAAGAAATAGGGGAGATAGGATGAGGATAAAGGGTCTGTAGTTCAAGACCAGGGTAGAGATCAGAAGACGGGGGAAGACTTTGCATGTAGACAGGCCTACAAGTCTCTCTCTAGTTTTTGCTCCCTTGGGAAAGACTTCCAGTCCTGTGATTCTTCCCATATGCACTCAAAGTCTTGATGGGAGAGGAGAGGCTTCTGAGAGACTAGGCACCCGCCCCCCCACCACCCCTCATA